TTTCCTTTTTTTTTTTTTTTTTTCCTCCTGTCGTCTCCGCTGTCTTTGACGGTCCCGACTCGGTGAGACCCGGCGGCCGGTTCGGTCGCTTGTCCCTGCCCTGTCATTTTTTTATTCTATTTTTAATCCATTAATATAATATAGTTTAAATTGGTTTTTTAACTTTAAATAATATTAAAGAGATTTCACATTTTAAAAATAAAAATTGATATCATCAAAATTTAAAAAAAAAAATTAATTAATCTAATGATTAAAATTAAATTCGAGGCTAAATTAATAAAAAAAAAATTCCTAAAACTTTGTGATTACCTTAAACCGTTTAAAAAATACCTTTAAATTTTATAAAATTTCATTAATATCCTTCAAATTTTTTTAAAAGTTCAAAAATATATTCCCCGTTAATATTATATTTAAAAAATACCCATAACTATTTTTATCTTTATAAAAAAAATAATAATAAATAATAATTTATCATCAATATATAGACGAAAACCATCCATCTATACTTGATAGATTATTTACAAAATTTTTAATATTATTTTTTAAAATTAAAATTTATGAGTATTTTTTTTATACGGTAACCATATTTTTTAATTTTTTTTAAAAAAATTTAAAGTGTTTTCAAAGTTTTTAAAATGTTCCAGAGTATTAATGAAATTGTTAAAAACTTGAAGGGTCTGTTGTTTAAAACACTCTTTTATTTTTGAAACTTCTTTCATCCAAAACTTTATATATATATATATATATATATTTTAGTTTTAAGATTGTTTTTTTATTTTATTTATTTTTTTTTAAATTTTGAGAGAATTACTAAAACTTTTAAAAATTTAAGATTAATTTTTAGACCAAATATAATTTTTATTAATTAATTGAGTCTGAATTCTAAAATTTCAAATTTTGTTTATTCATAAATTTATAAATATTAAATAGTCGAATATATAATAAACACGAAATTTAAATTTTAGTCAAATAAAGTATACTAATAAACGACAAACAATTAATTTGAAGTCTTATGTATCTTACTACAATAAAGCCAAACTTGACATATGTCGTGTTTTTCATTAGCAGATCCATAACAAGTCCAACCGAGTTGTATTTACAAGCTGCTAAAAATGGCGTTAAAATCCTTAAAGGGTCTGTAGATTTAAGACGAGAATTGATGGCACTACACACAGCGATTATGCAAAAGACGTAGATGACATGAAAATCACTTATAGATATGTGTTCCAAAACCGCACGTAATTTCTTTTCCACTATTATAACAAAATTTGTGGCACCTGTTTATTGTGCTTGTCGAGTAGTGTGGGGATAAGGAAAGTATCGGGGAAGCTCGATCGTTCTCAATACAACTATACTGTGTGATAACAGTTATACGATTGAGCTATCAAATAATTCAGTTGATAAGATAAGGAATCGATACAAGGGGAATAAGATTCGGATTACCTTGTTAATCGAATATCTCAAGGCAATAACATTGTTTGAGATTCGAATCACTCCACAAGCAAGATCGATCATGTCTAGCTTGAATAATTCTTGTTGATTAAATATCTCAACGCAAGAACACTTGATTAAGATTCAAATCACTCCACAAGCAAGATTGATCATGTCGAGCTTGAATGATTCTACATGCAACCTAAACTATATAGAATTGCAAAGAAACTTAGTAATTGGCTAAAGAAGGGCACAAATGCTCTTTTACTATATTTTCCAAATCTTCGTACAAATACATGGCTTTATATATAGCCTCAAAATGAAACTAAACGTTGTAACATTTATACTTAATGGCCATAATTGTAACCTAAAGTAAATTAAAAGTCTTAAAATACATTAATAAAATACAATAACTCTAAATTACTGTAAATTGTAATCCACCCAAAATTTATAACATGAAACTTCACTCTTCTTCAACGTGGCATGAATTGAAATATCTTTTGATAATTTCAACAATATTTGCTTCCTATCTTCATTGAAACATATTGTATGATTGATGTTTTTTAGTTCATATCATCAATTATGCATGGACGCATCAAAACACTTTGATGCAAGGCTTCAATCGTTCATATTTCACGAGCATTCAGGTTTAACCGTTCGAATTAAGCTCTAATATTCTCTCGAAATCGACTTCTAGAAACTTAAAATACTCCCGAAAATAAAAATTATTCCGCAAGTTCGAACAATTAAACCTAAATACTTCTTAAAATATAATTGGAATAAGTTCACGGAGTGACGAAGACTTTGTTGTAGCAAATTTGTCATTTTTAATCGTCTTCATCGTTCCAGGAAGGAATCTTACCTCATTTTTAATGGATCGAATTTTCTTATAATATATTTATAATTGAATGAATAATCTAATGAGTTAAAATTATTTTAATAATTTCATAGAAATAAATTAACCTACAAAAAAATAATTATGTAAAATTATTGAAATTAATGGTGAGAATCGAATAAATATATTATTTATTTAGATATTTTTGAAAAATTTTAAAAATATTATTAAAATAATTTAATAAACGAATACGACAAATTGCAGAGGTAGTTGTTATTAATTTAGTAAAAATAAATAAATAAATAAATAAATAAAATAAAATAATTGTAACTACCCCCATTGATGGCTGTGGTGATCCCAGGCCAAATTTCCACGATTTTCACGTACTCTTCATCGAAACTTGTGCGTATGTTTCCCGGAGAAATTATGTGTCAAGTGGAGCACGATTTCAGTTGCTATTTCCATTCAATTTCTTCCTCTTCTATATATTTACCAGATTTGATTTCAGAATCGAATCGATTGACGTTGCCATTGTAGAGCGAGGGAGAGAAAAATGGAGAACGCACTTAACAGGCAGCGGGTTCTTCTTCAACATTTGCAGCCCAGCTCTTCTTCTTCTTCTGGATCTGCATCGCTTTCTGTATGTTTTACTTCCCATTTTGGAGTTCATCTGTTTATGATTCCCTGGTGTTCATTCTAGGGTTTTTTTTCCCGTTTTTTCGCTGGGTTCTTCTTGATTTTCTTTCTTACTTTGCGTTTTCATTGGGCATTTGGCTGAACTTGTTTTTGCTTGGTTGATAGGCTTCGGTATGTGCTGCTGGAGAAAGCGCTTCACATTCATACCATAGGACTGGTGCGTTTGGGGATGATATTGTCATTGTAGCGTAAGTTCTTTTTTTCTTCCCCTCCGCTGATGTTGCTTAGCTAGCTCTTTGTTGCCTCTGATAATCTCTTGCTGGAAAAAATGGAAAACAGAGCATATCGTACAGCGATTTGCAGAGCAAAGAAAGGGGGTTTCAAGGATACTCCTGCAGAGGATCTTCTTGCATCTGTTCTAAAGGTTTGATTCATTCGTTCATTGATGTTATTATATTCTGCACTAGCATTAAGTTTTTTGGATTTGTTTAGTTTCTAATATATGTGTTATTTCCCACATACGTGTTTAGTTTATGTATCCAACGTTTTTTCAATTAAGTATGTCATTTTCAATGTGTGAATTTTGAAAATGCACCATTTATGTGGTTGTTAGTTGTTGCCAACACTTTTAGTGGCCCCATAAAGTCATTCTGGTCCCTCAAATTACTTTAATTTATGGGTTGGTATGTGTGTTTCAATCAATTACAACTCAGGTAATTCCGGTTTAATTACAAAATGTAGCAATATGTGAGATCCCACGTCGATTGGAGAGAGTAACGAGTGCCATCGAGGACGCTGGCCCCAAATGGAGGTAGATTGTGAGATCCCACATCGATCGAAGAGAGGAATGAGTTCTAGCAAGCATGTTGGGTTCCGAAGGGGGTGGATTGTGAGATCCCACATTGGTTAGGGAGGGAAATAAAACATTTTTTTGCAAGGGAGTGGAAAACTCTCTAGTGCCATCGAGGACGCTGGCCCCAAATGGGGGTAGATTGTGAGATCCAACATCGATCGAAGAGAGGAATGAGTTCTAGCAAGCATGTTGGGTTCCGAAGGGGGTGGATTGTGAGATCCCACGTTGGTTAGGGAGGGAAATAAAACATTTTTTTGCAAGGGAGTGGAAAACTCTCTAGCGAGTTTTAAAAACCTTGAGGGGAGGTCCGAAAGGAAAAGCCCGAAGAGGACAATATGTACTAGCGGTGTGCTTGAGCTGTTACACAATCGGTGGCGAAAGTTAAAGAAAAAAAAATAAAAAAATCAGATACTCGATTATATAATTCAGCCAACTTCTTAATCGAGCTTTGTTTCTTTTCATAATGTTTATAGATTCTCTTAAAAAATATTGATTGTTGATGTAGGCTGTGATCGAGAAAACAGAACTGAATCCGAGTGAAGTTGGTGATATAGTAGTTGGCACTGTTTTGGCTCCTGGCTCTATAAGAGCTTCTGAATGCAGGATGGCTGCTTTCTATGCTGGCTTCCCTGGTACAATATGATATTCCACAGTCCTTTGTTTTTGTATCCCATAGCAATATTTTCAACTTCTCTCTTATGT